TGAATTTTATATTATTTTTGTTAATTTTATAATGTTAAACTTTAATAATAACAAATAATTGTTGAGAACTGATTATTGAGAACTGCTTATCAAAGTTCGCATTGTTGATTAGTTGTTAGAATTCGACCACCATTGTTTGGACTTCATGAACAATGGCATTTTTTGGCACTGGCAACCACGAAAACATTGTGTAACTGTCTCTCAGACGATACATATCGTACTGAGTGCTAGTGCTAGTTAAACAAGTGATGTCAACAAATCAGCTATTCAGATAATTTAGGTAAGTAATTTACTGATTTATTTCATGAATTTAGCAGACAGTACTCATATTATTTATATTTTATAGTGGCAGCAAAAAGTCTAGCGCCAGCCTTGAAAGTGACACTTACGACTTACAAGGTATCATTATTAAAAAAATATATTGATAAGGAAAAGGTGAAATCTTGGGCATCAGCAAAAATCACAATAGAGAACAAATGGTTAGAAATATTTCATCATTTTGAAACAAACCATGTTCCATACAATAATGCACTAAAAATTGTGGGATACATGCTGTCCTTACCAGGAACTAATGCTGCGACTGAACACATTTTTTCTATGGTAAATAAAGTGTGGACATCAGAAAAATCACAATTAAGTGTTGAGACTTTGAAAGCCATTTTACGTGTGAAATATAATTTAACAAATTCTTGCGAAAAATTTCATGACCTTTTAAACAACGACAGCAATCTACTAAAAAAAAATCACTCAAATGAGAAATATGCCAAAGAATAAAATAATACTATACATAATTTTTTAAATGTATATTTGTAAATTGTACTTATGTTGAAATTAAAAAAATATATATTACAATACTATTTTTGTGCTCTATGAAAAATTTTGTTGCTCCATATAGACCAAATTTTTAATTAAGAACCCCCCCACCCCCCCACCCCCAACCACCGTCAATGGTGTCCCACTTTACCAATGTTAAAATCTGGTCACCTTAGGTAAAAGCAATTCAGCAGGTTCCAATTTCTGGCTTCTCCACTTGAGCCAGTAACTTGCTTCACTTAGATTTAGGTTCCTCCTGTATAAAAACGGGAAGAAGCATAGTCTTAATGTTGATAGGGTGATGTGAGAATTTAATGCTCTTCTATACAGCTGGGAAGCACAGCCACTGACACATAACAAGCAGCCATGAAACAGCTGCTTACTATTATCAGTTACAATCCCTATGGCGTTCAAAGATAACTTGAGGCCTGCACCATGGAGCCTGTTGGCGTTGACTGACCAGAGTCTGCAAATTCTCTGCTCTGATCCTGTCCTGACTGCCCCTACCCCAGCTGTCCATTCTTTGAAAACATGGAGAATTATGTCCCTGCATCAGTTGTTACTAGAGCCAATCACCTGTCATGCCTGGAATAGGGATCCTACCCAAATTGCCCTTAGCCCCCATGGTCATGAAGTGCAGACCTGCAAGAAAAATGGGAGCCAGTGGTCAAAGCTCATGAACTCAAGGAGCACAGCAGACACATCATAGGTATTGACTGGGCTCCCAGAAGGGAACCACATCATCACTTTTAGGGCTGATCGCAAGGCCTATGTCTGGAGTCAGAAAAATGGTGTCTGGAAGCCGGTTCTGGCGATCCTGAGAATTAATCACGCAGCCACTTTTGTGAAGTGGTCTCCGCTAAAGAACAAATTTGCTGCAGGAAGTGAAGCATGACTCATTTCTGTTTGTTACTCGAGTCTGAGAATGACTGATGGGTAAGCAAAAACATTAAAAAGCCAATTTGCTCTGGGTGGCGCCTGTGGCTCACTGCGTAGGGCGCTGGTCCCACATACCGATGGTGGCAGATTTAAAAGTGACCCTGGCCAAATTGCAATAAAAAATAGCCAGCGTTGTGGCAGGTGCCTGTAGACCCAGCTACTTGGGAGGTTGAGGCAAGAGAATCGCCTAAGCCCAAGAGTTGCAGGTTGCTGTGAGCTGTGACGCCACCGCACTCTACTGAGGGTGAAAGAGTGAGACTCTGTCTCAAAAAAAAGCCAATTTGCTCCACAGTCCTCTGCTTGGACTGGCACCTCAACAATGTTTGCTGGCAGCAGGATCAAATGCAGAGTGTTTTCTGCCTAGATTAAGGAAGTGGATGAAAAGCAGCCAGTACACCCTGGGGCAGCAAGAAGCCTTTTGGTCAGCTGATGTCAGAGTTTGAGGGTAGTTGCACCAGTGGCTGGGTCCATAGGGTCAGCTTCTCTGCCACTGGGAGCTGCCTAGCTTGGGTCAGTCATAAAAGCACTTTATCTATTGCTGATGCCTCAAAAAGTATATAGGTCTCAACTCTGAAAAGAGAGTTCCTGCCACTCCAGAATCATCTGTCTTGGACAATAGTGTTGTGGCTGCTGGCCATGACTGCTGCCCTGTGCTCTTTAACTACAATGACCACGGCTGCTTGACCTTTGGGTCCAAGTGAGACATTCCAATACAGAGCACCCAGCACAGCATGTCTGCCATGGAACATTTCTGCAACGTGGATACAAGGGCCACGCCTGAGGACCGCAATACAGCCTTGGAGATGCCGCACCAGAATAGCATCACTCAAGCGTCTATTTAAGAGGTAGACAAACAAGATTGTCACAAACTTTGCACTACTGGCATCAATAGAGCCATGACAATTTGGGATTTCAAGACCTTAGAGTCTTCTATCCAGGGTCTCTGGATAATGTGATGCTGAGTGAGCCTCTGCCATCCAGCACGACAACAGTGGCTCTGCCAACAGATAGCAATGAAAGCCAGCCCCAAAGAAACACTGAAAACACACATCACACAAATATTGTGTGGTTTTGTTTCAGTATAAAATTGGTGAAAGTGTTGGTATTTTAAAAGCAACAGTGATTTTTTTGGGGGGCGGAGGCCATTTCATTCCATTGTTGACCAAAGCTTCTCATTAAGTAGTTTATTATGGAGAATTGTCACACTAACTTAAAGGAAAGGGTGATGGAAATATGTAAATTGTCCACTAGAAAATTAAGTTAAAATACTGAATGTGGAATATTATGCTGCTTTAAAGAAAGATGGAGACTTTAGCACTTTCATGTTTACATGGATGGAGCTGGCACATTTTCTTCTTAGCAAAGTATCTCAAGAATGAAAGAAAAAGTATCCAATGTACTCAGCACTACTATGAAACCAATTTATAGCTTTCATGTGAAAGCTATAACCCAATTATAGCCCAAGAATATGGGGAAATGGGAAAGGGAGGGGAGGAGGGAGGATGGAGGGAGGGAGAGTAATTGGTGAGACCACACCTACGGTGCATCTTACAAGGGTACATGTGAAATTTACTAAATGTAGAATATAAATGAATATAAATAATAGAATATAAATATTAGTTAACACAATAACTAAGAGGGTGTCATGAAAGCTATGTTAGCCAGTTTGATGAAAATATTTCAGATTGTATATAAAACCAGCACATTGTACTCCATGATTGCATTAATGTACACAGCTATGATTTAATAAAAAAAAAATAAATAAATAAAAATACTGAATGTGAAAAAAAGATTATTTGAAATTATGTATATTTTATTATTATTTTTTGTAGAGACAGAGTCTCACTTCATCATCCTTGGTAAAGTGCCGTGGCGTCACAGCTCACAGCAACCTCCAACTCCTGGGTTTAGGAGATTCTCTTGTCTCAGCCTCCCGAGTACCTGGGACTATAGGCACCTGCCACAATGCCCGGCTATACATTTTTATTATTTTAAAGACTTTTAATTAAGGGCGGGGGGAGTAAATGCCTGAATATTTCTTATTCTTTTGGTTTTTCATTTTAGGAAAGTTTAGTGTTTCCTTACATGGGAATAAAAACTCAGAGGGAGTCGTTGAAGTAAAACTTGTAGACCAAGATACAAAAATGTTCATATGTCACAGTAGCTGGAGCATGACGGAAGCCAATGTAGCCTGCCTTGACCTTGGATTTCAACAGTGAGTGCTTGCATCAGTAGATTTTCTCAGGATTTGTTTTTATTATTCCAACTATTTGCTTTTTGATTACCTAATCTTTCTTTGCCTCAATTTCCTCATATGTAACCTGAGAAAATCAACTACCTGCCTCAGGAGGATGAAGAGTGGTCAAGTTCACCTGGCACTTAGAACCCTGCTGAGCACAGAGCATTTGCAAGTCTACTGAAGAGTTTGGAGCTTATGCAAATTATTGCTTATCTACCTTATTGCTTATCTCTATCTTATCTTATTGCTTATCTTATTGCTCCTCTATCTTATTGCTTATCTACCAATCCTTTGGTGATTTCGAGTCGCAAACATGTTCCTTCTTTATATGTGCCTTTTCTCTCTTTCTCCTTGGTCAGCTTTGCAGAGATTTGTCTATTTGATTAGACTTTTTGATTTTTGTATTTATGAATGGTCTCTTGTTTCTTTATTTTGTACTTCATTAATCTTTACTGTTATCTTTGAGTTGAAGACTCAACTCAACCATTTTCAGTGTTTCTTGTTTTCCTAACATAAACACTGACAGTAAAAATTTCCCTCTAGGTAATGCTTCATCTACATGCCATACGCCTTGTATGTGGCATTTTATTTATCATTTAGTTCAAAATATCTTGTAATTTTCAATATAATTTCTTTGTTGAGCCATAAGTAATTTAGAAGGTTTTTTTTCTTTTTGTTTTTACTTTTCATATGAATATATTAGTTGGCTTTCGATTAACTTTTTGTTGTTGTTTTCTTATTTAAACACATCATAGTCAGAGAATGTCCGTGTATGATGACAACTTTTAAAAATATTCATTGAGACTTTCTTTGTGGTTGAGTGTTTTTTAAATGCTCCATGTACAGGATTCTATGTGATGGATATGTTATCCATTAGAATTAGCAAGGTTAACTGTTTTTGCAAATATTTTCTTATTTCTTTCTTTTCCATCTTTTTATATCTTTATATTTTAAGCATGTCTCCTATAAATAGCATATTACCTAGATCATTTATTTAATTGACTATGACAGTCACTGTTAACTGGAGAGTTTATTCCATTTACATCACTGTGTGTTGTATTTTTCCTTTCTTATTTTTGGGCTTATTATTTACTCCGCTTTATCTGTGCTTTCATTTTTTCTTTTTGAATTGCTAACAGATTAATAAAGATTGTTTTTAATCTTTCCTCTTCTCTTCCTTTAGTTGGCTTGGAAATAATACATTTTATTTATTTATTTTTATTTTTATTTTTATTTTTTGAGACAGAGTCTCACTATGTCACCCTTGGTAAAGTGCCGTGATGTCACTGCTCACAGCAACCTCAAACGCTTGGGCTCAAGCGATTCTCTTGCCTCAGCCTTCCAAGTAGCTAGGACTACAGGTGCCCATCACAACACCTGGCTATTTTTGTTGTTGTTGTTGCAGTTGTCATTGTTGTTTAGCAGGCCCGGGCCAGGTTCAAACCCACAACCATGGTGTATGTGGCCAGTGCCCTAAGCACTTGAGCTACAGGTGCTGAGCCAATGCATTATATTTCTATTCCTTTAATGGTTATCTTTGAATTTACACCATAAATCCTTGACTTAGTAAGTACTCAGCTTCTTTAGACATAATAGAAAAAATGTCATTATCCCATCAAGTTCCCATATTTAGTTCCATCTTATTTTTATATGCCCCTGAAGTTAGTCACTATTGCTGTATAATAAGCAATCATTATAACAGTTGTTAAGTCAATGTTTATCCAGATTTACTTCATGTTTACTAGCTTCTTGGTTTGTTCCTTTGTGCATCTCACACCTCCATTCTGGAGTCAATTTTCTTCTTAAGTGACACCTGCAGTGGTTCATTAGTGAGAGTCTCTTACTATTAAAATGAGCAGTAGAATATTTCTGATTTTCAACAGTTAGTGATCTACAACTGACTGGTTCAACTTGGTAGTAAACTCTCTTGGGCTTATTTATCTCTATTTGCTCTTATCACATTTTGCATAAGCTCATGAACCAGCTTCTCTGATTTTAGCCAGCATGGAGTTCCCTTACTTCCTTAAAAGCTCATTTGAGGACATTTGTTATGTTTTATATAATATTTCCGATATTTTTTAATTGAGAGGCTTTTTGGATTACTTATCAGATCATCCCCAAGGGTCTTGCTTATTCTCATAGCATAGCTTCATGACTACCACATCTTCACCATGGATCTGAAATAATTAAAAATGCCCTCCTTTTAGTTCTCTTTTTGCCTTTTGTTCTATTAGTGTGATATTTTTACTGCCATTACTGTTCAATTTTTGTTTTCATTTACCTGATGCATCTCTGCTTGACTGTTCATTTTAACCTCTTTTCTCCCATTTACTTCTAACAAGAAGCAAGGAGCCATTGAATGTCCTGGAAAAATAGTTCACTGCAAATAATTGTCTCTCGGATGGTGCCTCACCAAGGAAGCCTCTTTTCCACATAAATTCTGAGCAAATCGGGAAGTCCAGGCAATGACATATAGATGCCAAAATATTACCGTAATACTGTCAAGGCTGAATTGAGGATAAGCTTAGTGTAAAAGCAAAATGGACCCTTTTGAATTTAACTAACTCAGCCTTCCAAAACTTAGGCAATAATGAAACTGGTCAGATAACCTTACAGCATGGGGAAGGTAGAGAGACTCCCAAAAGGAAAAGACAAAAAATCTGAGCGCACCATGTCTGATACTTATTTCTAAAATCCTCTGGGCAGAGGATTCCAGGAAAGAAAGCAGGAATGAGAAAGAAGCGTTTCTCCCTAATAAGAAACAGGGAGCAGAAACCAGTATTTGCGGAGTGTCTGCCATGTTTTGAACTCTGGCTAGTTAAAATTGATTATTTTAGTTAATCTTTACAAAACTCAGTGAGGTGGTTATATTCCTTTTTATAGGTGAAGATATTGGGGCTCAGAGAATTCAAGTATGTTGCCCAACCTGTAACTCATATGCACAGAATGAGAGGAGGCAACTCGGGTCCCTCCTACAGCAGGGTCATACATGCAATGCACTAATTATTCTACCACAATGTTTCTCTTACTCTGTCTGCAGAGGCGCTCTTAATACTCAAAGAAGGTTTGGTATTTCTGAAGAACCTTATATAAATTCCACTGAATGTCTGCATGTGCATTGTTGGGGATTCGAGACCAGTTTGGCTGAATGTACTTTTACTAAGAGAAGGACTAAGGAATCCCAGGATTTAGCTGGTGTGGTGTGTTACACACAGGACGCAGGTTGGTGGAGCACTTGCCCGTCCTTTCCCTTCCTTCGCATTTATTTTATACCAAGACCACAGTAGACAAATGATTGGTACCCAGTTTCCAGTCACAGAGGCAGTGATATGGGCTCTATTATGTTTGGGGCTTTAGAGGCTAAATTGGTACTTTTCTCCTATGTGTCTTTTTGCCATTCAAATATCACTTCTCTTGGGGCAGCGCCTGTGGCTCAAAGGAGTAGGGTGCTGGCCCCATAAGCCGGAGGTGGCGGGTTCAAACTCGGCCCTGGCCAAAAACTGAAAAAAAAAATAATAATAATAATAATAAATAAAACAAAAAACAAATATCACTTCTCTCCAGTTCCTAGATGGGAAGTAAAGTTTCCTTTGCTTTGTTTGAATATCAGATTAGAGTTACTACAGCAAACAGAAGTCAGTTGAGCATGAGAAGAAACCTCAGCATCTCCTTTTAGAGTTCTGGGGTGCATACCTTTCTTTAAAACCTTGAAGTGATCACATCAGAGCCTCCATTTCCCGGCAGTCATTGCCACTTTTACCCTCCATTCTGACATTGGAATATTTGAGCCATACGTATAGTTTTAAAGGCCAAAACCATAGCCATCCTTTTCCAGTGGGTATTTTTTTTTTTTAAGTACCACCTCGGAAGGAGGTGTGGGTATTAGTGTGGCAGCCTGAAAGAAATGGTGAGAACCAGTTTTGCTGACGTTGGCAAGCATTCCTGACTCCTGGCTCCCTTCTCAGACTTCCACCATAAATGATGATTTTCAGGGACAATGACAGGACCCCCATCAGCCAACTTTAGCATTTATTTCCCCTTATTAGTCTTATATACTATGTTGATAGTACTAATCCATTTTGTATCGGTTTTTGGAAATTTCACTTTATCTTAACAAGTCCATTATCCCCAAAATGTGCTAAGGATGTCATGCCGCAACTCCATAAATAAATTTCACAAAGTTAGTTCCTGCTTTACAGATTTACCAACGGATAAATCCTTTAGGTGTGTGAACGGGAAATACATTGCTCAGAGGAAGGCCTGTGATGGTGTCAATGATTGTGGAGACCAAAGTGATGAGCTGTGCTGTAAAGGTAGATATAAATCCAGCCCCCAAACTCACTTTTCTAACTAAAAAAGCAAAAACAACTTTACCATCGAATTTCATATTGCACCTCATTCAGTTTTAAGACCTGGAAGGAAACCTCTCCTACTTATGTTTGCACAGGGTGCCGCGGTGACAGTTTCTTTTGTAAATCTGGTGTTTGTATTCCAAGCCAGTTTAAATGCGATGGTGAAGTGGACTGCCTTTCAGGAGAAGATGAAGTTGGTTGTGAAGGTAATTTAAAGTTTGGGGAGACTGTTCTTCATTTTTGAATTCAAGGCTGCTGAAACTTTTCTTCAGGTAAAGTGTGACCTTAAGGAACCAGGGGTAGGTGTAGCAGTAAGAACACTATTTTTTTTTTTTTTTTTGAGACAGAGCCTCAAGCTGTCACCCTGGGTAGAGTGCTGTGGCATCACAGCTCATAGCATCCTCCAACTCCTGGGCTCATGCGAGTCTCCTGCCTCCACCTCCCAAGTGTAAGGGACAAAACTAACTTTATTTTAACTACTCCCTAAACTGCCCATACCCAGAGCTTCAGGCTGTACCTGCATCTCAAGGACATTGTGTTTACTTCCTATGCTATACTTAGAGAAGCTGCATACCAGGGAAGTTGTGTAACCCCCCTCCTTTTCTTTGTCTTCGCTCCACTGTGCACACGTCCCATAACTTGCCCCCTTGTACAGCATCTACCTAGACCAATCAGCTTAAGACAAGTACTACCTCTCCCTTCTTTCTTTCTGTACCCCTTAAAACCTCCTTCCATTTTAGAATCGGGGCTCTTCTGCTCTCCTGCTGCAACGGGAAGAGTAGAAGGCCCTGACTTGAGTCTCATAATAAAACCGCCTCTTGCCTTTTGCATCGGAGCAGTCTCAGAGTAATTTATGGGGGACCTTGTAACTTGGGCACAACACAAGTAGCTGGGACCACAGGTGCCCACCACAATGCCCAGCTACTTTTTAGTTGCATCTGTCATTGTTGTTTGGCGGGCCCAGGCTGGATTCGAACCCGCCAGCTCAGGTGTACGTGGCTGGGGTCTTAGCCACTTGAGCCACAGGTGCCGAGCCAGTAAGAACACTATTGAGTGGGCATTTGAAAAACTATGAAATCGTCATCACCTCACATTTTTATTTACTAAGTATCTACTTATTACAGAACTTTTTTAAAAAGAAGTTCTCATGTACACACAAGACAAGACTATGAAAATGAACCTCTATGTAACCACCTTCCAGCTGCAATATTCATTCATATTTTGCCAGTTTTTTTCTCTCTTCCAGTTTGTTTGTATGTTTGTTGGATTATTTTAAAGCAAATTTCAGATATCACATCTCTTCACCCATATATGTGTCTAATTATAAAGAGACTATATATATATATATATATATATAACCACTGTCTCATTAGTAGGCCTAAAATAAAAATAATTCCCTGTATCATTTAATAGCAACCATGCTCAAATTTTCCCAACAATCTCCAAAATATCTTTCTTGAGTTAATATGTTCAAATCAGGATCTAAAAGAATCTGAATGTTGGGTTTGGTTATTAAGTTTTTTAAGTCTCTCTTATTCTTTAAGAATTCCCTCCCCCACTCCAATTTTCCTCATGCTATTGATTTTTTTTAATAGAAACTAGGTCACTTGCCTATAGGTTAGTCCTTATTCTGGATCTATAAGACTTGATTAGAAGGAAGATTTAATACTTTAGCAATACTTATTGATGAGTCTTGCCTTGTATTTACTGTTACCAAAATGTCTTCTCTGGATGTCCCCCTACCAACACCACCAAGATTGATCCCTGGAATAGCGCGACATGTCCACTTAAACGTGCCCTCATAACCTTTTGCCTAATGATTTCAGCAGCCTTTGTAAGTGTTGCCTACACGCATTTTGTCAGCAGGGGCAGTAAAATGGTGATATGTAATTTTACCATTCCTTCTGCATTTATTAAATGGAAACCTATAGGAAAAAAATTCTCCTTCATCAACTATTTTGTTTCCATAAAATGTACTTCACAGCAGAAAGGTAAAATAATGTTTAACTCCCTTTACTTATGGAGTTCCAAAGTAATGATATGGTGCCCAGGATAACCTCCAATGGTGAAAAATATTTTTTATGTATCTACTTTGTGCCATTTACACAGACTGTTTGCTCCCATCAGTGCTTTCTGGGGGGAATCTCTTTAACTTATTATATTCATTCACTGAATGAATGTTTATTAAGTTCCTACTGTGTACTGGGCCCTGTTCTAGGTGCTGGGGTTACCATAGTGAATAATAATTCACAACTTTCTGCCTCTTCATAGATTTTACATTCTAATGGTGGAAGGAAGACAATAAATAGAATAAATAAGTAAAAGATTAAGTAAAGTAAGTGCTAAGAAGAAAAATAAAGCAAGGATAGAGGATTTAAAATGTTGAGGGGGTAAGTTATGAAAGAAAAAAATTTGTTTTGAGACAGAGTCTCACTCCGTAGTCCAGGCTAGAGTGCTTTGGCAACTTAGCTCACAGCAACCTCAAACTCTTGGGCTCAAGTTCCCCTCTTGCCTCAGCCTCCTGAGTATCTGGGACTACAGGTGCCCATCATGATTCCCAGCTAGTTTTTCTATTTTTATTAGAGACAGGTTCTCCCTCTTGTTCAGGCTGGTCTCGAACTACTGAGATCAAATGATCCACCTGCCTCAGCCTCCTAGAGAACTAGGAGCAAGTGTGAGCCATGGTGCCCGGCCAAGTTTTGAAATTTAGACATGAGACCTGGGAAGGCCTCACTCACTGAAGTTACTTTCAGGTGACAGGCTGAAGGAAACCATGTGGCAGCCATGCAGATGTCTGCAGAGCGGATTCCAGGCAGAGGCAACGGCCAGTGCGATGTGCCTGGGACAGAAACGTTCCTAGTATGTGTAAGGGAAGGAGTAAGAGGGTTAGTGCGACAGGTGTACAGGTAATGGTATTAAAGGACATTAAATGGACATTTAAGGAGGCATTAAAGGACAAACAGTAGAGGGGTGAGGGGCCAGAGGTGCCAGGGAAAATCAAGTAAGGCCTGTCAGTGAGTGAAATGGAAGCCACTCCAGGGCTTTGAGCAGAGGAGAAACATGATCTGACACTTGAAATCAAGACTGCTTTGGCTGCTGGGTGGGGAATATGCTGTATAAGGGCAGAGAGCGGGTGGAGGGAAGTGGAAACTACTACTGTAAGCCCAGGAAGAGAAGAGAGTGACGAGGGCAAGTGGTGGGAAGGGAAATGATGAGAAGCAGTTGTTTCAGGATATAGTTTGAAGGCAGAGCCAACAAGATTTCCCAATGGATTGGATCAGGTGTGAAACCGAAGGAGCAGTCAAGGATGGCTGCAAGGGTTTTGGCGTGAGAATGGAGAGGACAGAGCTGCTACCCACAAAGATGGGGAAGGCTGCGGGAGAAGGGGGGATACTCATGTGCACCTCATCCACGGGCCTATCCGGTGGTGTGCTGGCAAACGGTTAACAGCCTGCTTCGGAGAGAAGCCTTGATTTGTAGCTTTTGCTAATTTCTGAGGGTGTAAATACCCCCACCTCGGTAATTTATATTAGCAAGATGTTACAGAACTTAAGCTGGGCACGGTGGGCACAATATACTCTGGCAAACTTGTCCAAGTTGGTGCCAGCACACCAATGAATGACTTTCAACTGTTCATTGATTTTTGTATTTGTCCTAATCAGCAGTAAACACCTTTAAAATGGAATCTATCTAATTATTTTTATATTCAGATGTCCTAAGAGAAGTGTGTTACAATAAACATTAAATGTTGGAGATGCATATGGATAAATACATTGATATTATTTTTTATAAAACATATGTTACTTCATATGCTCCGTATTAGGCTTCACTAAAATTTTGTTTAATTTTCTGTTGATACCAGTTCTTAAATTAAAGAGTATACTGTTTAGGATTTCAAGTCATTTAATTTCTTCTGAAGGGCGTACAAGCAGGTGAGCAGCAATGTTCTTCTGTTCACTAAATTTCGTTCAGCCTTTAGGAAGGAGAGGAAGAAAGGAAAACTTTCCAGGGAGGAGGACAGTAAATACTGACCTGTACCAAAGCTCTCAGTTTGGTTTTTTTCCCTTCTTTAATTTTTTTACTTTGCCCTCCCCCCTCTCAATTTAAAACTCTAAGTTTTACAGTCAAGGAACACAATTTGTTAGTTTATGAAAACTCCTTCTGCAGGACGGTACCTACAACATAAACCTTATTTTTAATTGATTTCTTAAATCTATATCAAGACCACATTTAGTTAACTGTCAGTGTTGCTTCACTTTGCCCTTCTTTTAAGAAGAGCCCTGTTGTCTGTATCTCCATAATGGTTCTAATTTTTTCCTCTCTTAAGAAAGGTCAAGTGAGAGCAAAAGTGTAAAATAAAAATATTAATATATTCTTTGACCCCTTCTTTAAGTGACCAGGTCAGAATACCTAAACCAAGAGAGGTTTGCATTTATCTCTTAATAGGTTTCTTTTTATTAATGTAAGTTTAAAATAATTACAAATTTTATATAACTGTATAGTAAATATGCTGTTGACTGTGTATTCCAATGTATCTAAAATATGAGTCTCTTTTTAAAATTAAAGTTAAAACAATTTCCTTGTTGTAGTGGAATTTATGTGTCTAAATGTAGGATGGAAAAATTGCTATGCATTATTAAAAATCAAAGTAAGATGGCCTATTGTGGTTTCCTTTGATCTTTTTGTAACTATTAATTTAAATTGTTATACTATTTATGAAATGTTAATGATCTTTGTATATTTTAGTTAAATGACTATAATCTCTTTGCTATAGTCAATTTTTTCATTTTGTTTTTAGGAGCCAGACATCCTGCAACTCAAGGTAAATATACTTTTTAATTCTTTTTGAGATGGGGTCTTGCTGTGTTGTCCAAGCTGGCCTTGAACAACTAGACTAATGCAATCCTTCTGCTTCAGCTTCCCAAGTAGCTGGTATTACAGGTGCATGCCACCTGTTTCTATAATAGAAAATTTATACTGAAAACAAAAATAAGGTGCTATGGTTTTTATGACATATGTATAGTATAGTGATGTGGTATGTATTTTTTATAAATTAGAATTTATCCTTTTCTGTGGTAAACTTTGGTCTTATTCTTTGATTTTCTTCAGGCTTTGTACTTGTGGCTCAAGGTAAAAATTTTACTAAAATCTTGGGATACTGAAAAATTGAAACAAAACTAAAATTCAATTATCTTACATTTTGAAGTTAACTATTTCCCGAGCATGATATGACCATGTATTAGGGATAACCCATCTTGAACACAAATCTAGGCACAGAGGCCTTTCTTCAATGTCACAAACTCATTTACACGCATCCCATCCACAGCCTGCCGACCAAAACATTGTGCAAATTCAACCCATCCCTGCACATTCCACCTTTGCTAAACACCCATGTCCTCTTCTTTTAATTTTCCCTCAAATCAGGGCAGCTCCTGAAGAAAGTGCCACCATCAGAAAGATGATATCTTTTCATAACAGACATTTTCTTATTTGCTTACATAGCCAGATGTCCCCAACTCCTCCACTGTTTGGGGCCACCTTTTTCTTTTTTGTTTTTGCATGTTTGTTTGTTTGGTTGATTGGGGGGGGTTGTATGTTACTTGTTTTTTGTTAACAAGTCTCTTCACAAATACTTTTAAATATTCATATAAAATGACTTAATTTCCAGTTCACGTAGTGCCGCAAGTTCATGGTCTTCCTCGGGATTTCTTCAGATTCTTAGCTCAAGATCACCCCCAGTCTAAATGCCTAGTCTCAATTATTTTGTTGTGTTTCCTCTCATTTGTCATGTTGCACTCTGAGGCTGCCATTCTTCCCCCGCCCCTTCTTTATCCCTTTTTCTCTTCTTCTTTTCCTTCTGTCTCTCTTCCTAATGTCAGACTTTGGGGCAAAGGCGTGAGTTAGAGACACACCTCAGCTGCTTATACATGATCACCACTGGGCCAGGCCAGGGCCTTCTCTTGTTTCATTTATTTATTCTTCTTTATCCCTAAACCTGACTCCCCTTACCTCACCCATAGACAAGCATTTTGAAGTGACTTAATGTATATGTCTTTTTTTTTTGTATGCATTCTTATCCAATGTGTATTTATATTCTGTCAGCATATATTTTTTTCATTTACATAGTATTGTATTATAGGTCTCATATTCCCCCCCTTTTTTTTCTTTTCACAAAGCATTACATTTTAAAGATCTGTCCGTGTTGTTCTGTGTTCATCTAATTTGTTGCTTCTGACTGCTGCCGCTAATACTCTGCTCTGTTCATCTTTCACAAGTTACTTCCTATCAGTGGTGGACTCTCAACCCACAGTCACACCATCATAAACATCCTTAGGATCAGTGGGAAGATTTCTTTGAGACATCTAGCTGGGCGAGTGTCATAGTCCATTTTGTATCACTATAACAGAATACCACAGATTAATTTCTTACAGTTCTGGAGGTTGAGAACTCCAAGGTGGAGGGGCCCACATCTGGTGAGGGCCTTCCTGCTGTGTCCCCCCATGGCAGAATGTGGCAGGGCAAGAGAGTCAGAGAGAGCGAGAGGGGGTCAACGTCACTTTTATAACAAGCTCACCCCTGCTGTATCTAACCCACTCGCAAGAGAATATTAATCCATTCATGAGGAAAGAGCCATAGCAGGAAGGTTGTAAACTCTTAATTTGACTACTGGTGTCTGTACATTCTTTGGCAGAGCTGTTATGTAGCAGTCTCAGTCCCACCCATATGCCTGAGGGTTCTTCTCAACCCTGCCAGCTTCTAGCATCATCCAGCTTTCTAGGTTTGCTAGTTTCATACTGTCAAGTGATGGCATTCTTTATTAACTTGAATTTTTGCAATAACCAAAGACTTTGATTTTCTCTTCATGAGGATACTAGCTTTTTGAGTTTTCTCTTCTTTTTCTTTCCTCTCTTCTTTTGCCTGTTCACATCCTTTGCTTAATTTCATACATATTTCTTTCTCATTGATTTGCAAGGGTTCCTGTTATACAGCCCAGATAGTAATCTGATGTCAGTTTTAGACATTACAAATACCTTCTTCCATCTTGTCACTCAAATTTAATGCTATTCATGGTGATATTGAGTAGAAATCAATTACTTTCTATATAATCAGAGTTACCAGTTGTCTTTCTTATGGTTTTTGCTTTCAGAGATTTGTTGGCTCTTCTTATACCCAGTACACCTCAGCGACACTGGACTTTCCCCATTTCCCTTTGTTGAGCATTTCATGTAAATATTTGCGTCTTCTCTGATTTGTGAGGGTGTTTTTGTGAATACTTCTGAGTAAAGCCTTTCTCTTTCTCGGAAAACAACTTAGGTGGTTGGCATAACAGACACATGTGTGCCACCCCCCAAAGAGAACTTTGGGAATCCTGAGTCAGGACACAGTATTTTAGCAAAGCAAGATTGCCCTTCTGGACCACAGATTGAGAAGGGCTCTTCAGCCTTAGGGCTTCATGTGACCTTCTAGGTCCTTAAGTGTGGCCTTTTACCTAAATCCAAATTTTACAGACTAAATCTTTTTGTTTTTATAAATATATTTTTGTTTATCTTTTATATTTTTATTTTAATTTTTAAATGAATATTTTCAAAATACCAAAGAATAAAATCAGTTTCCTGAAATAATCCTCCCAGATTGGCCAGCAAAATTAGAATGTTAGTAAGCCATAACACCAGAGTTGTTGGCTGCCCATGTTCATGATTTGGTTCTAATTTCCCATACCTGATGGGCATCACTACTGCACAGGGGTAGTTGGCAAGTGTTAATGGAGGTCAAGTACACCAGTCTGTTATCATCCTTTGACAAGTGTATACTGTGTTTCTGTTTGAAGTGGGATTTGTGAATAGCTGCACAGCTTGGCAGTATTTTTTAATTCTGTCTGCTTAACAGTCCATCATGTCAAAAAAGACCAAGAAAACCCTGAAGGAAGAAAACACCAAGATTTTTTAATGAGGATGGGGAATTACAATATTATCTTGTTTCTGCTAAAGATAAGATGATTTGCTTGCTTTGTAATACTCTAGTATCAACGTTAAAGAAATTCAATGCTTATCAGCATCATAACACTCATAAGGACCACAAACATTTTAAATTAGCAGGAGAGGTGCAAAAAGTTACACTGCAGAAATTAAAAGAGGAAAAACAAAAGAAAAGACGATTCTTTCAAACAGCAGTAAGACCCAGAAATAATGCCACTGAAGCAACTTACAAAGTTAATCTCTTCAAAGGGAAGCCATTTAAAGATATAGAAATTAATGAAAGAATGTGTTCTTGAAGTTGTAGGATGCTTAGGCCCTGATGACATTTCAATGTACAAACAGCTGCCTCTTTCCCATAATTGATCAGCACCCTGAATTAGCTTTCAACTTAACAGAACAACTTCATGCAATACTTCAAAAGGAAAATATATATTATTCAATCACTTTGGATGCATCAATTGATACCACAGACTCAGCCCAGGTTTTATACTTCATTCAGGTCATAACAGAAGATTTTCTTTGCTATGAAGAGTTACTTATTTTGGGTATACTTATGAACAGAACATGTGGAATAGATATCTTCAACAACTTCCAAGATAAATCTTGTGATGTTAGACTGAATTTGGTAAATTTAGTTAGACTATATAGAGACAGTGTGCCTTCCTTGACAGTGAAACATGAAGGATTTGGGCAGCGCCCATAGCTCAGTGGGTAGGGCGCTGGCCACGTTCACTGAGGCTGGCAGGTTTCAACATGGCCTGGACCAGCTAAAACAACAATGACAACTGCAACAAAAAAAATAGCTGGGCATTATGGCAGGCATCTGTAGTCCCAGCTACTTGGGAGGCTGAGGCAAGAGAATTGCTTAAGCCCTAGAGTTTAAGGTTGCTGTGAGCTGTGATGCCATAGCACTCAAGGTGACAGCTTGAGACTCTGTCTCAAAAAAAAAAAAAAAGAAGGATTTATTGCACAGATGTTAAAGAAGTATTCTTTTACATGTTGTTATCCACTTCTCCCAGCACTGTATATTGAATAGGGATTCCTTTCCCCAGTGTAAGCTTTTGCTTGGTTTTTCAAAGATTAGATGGCAATAAGAAACTGGTTTCATCTCTTGGTTTTCTATTCTGTTCCATATGTCTATATCTCTACTTTTTATGCCAATACCATGCTATTTTGATCACTGTGGGCTTACTATAAAAAAATGCTCTTAATCCCTAAACATCAGAGAAATGCCAATCAAAACCACCCTGAGATATCACCTAACCCCAGTGAGATTAGCCCACATAGCCAAGTCCCAAAGTCGCAGATGCTGGCCCAGATGTGGAGAAAAGGGAACACTTTTACTGGTGGGACTGCAAACTGATACAGTCTCTTTGGAAATAAGTATGGAGAATCCTCAAATAACTCAAAATAGACCTTCCATTTGATCCCACAATACTACTACTAGGGATCTACCCAGAAGAAAAAAATCATTTTATCATAAGCACATTTGCACTAGATTACCACAGATCAATTTATAATTGCCAAGATGTAGAAACAACCCATGTGCCCATCAACCCAGGAATGGATTAATAAACTGTGGCATGGCATAGTATACCATGGAATACTATTCAGGCATAAAAAGATGAAGACTTCATGTCTTTTGTGTTAACCTGGATGGAGTTAGAGAACATTCTTCTTATTAAAGTATCACAAGAAATGACATTTTAAAGTCATTGATGTTAACGGCCGGGTGCAATAGCTCACACTTTGGGAAGCCAACGCAGGTGAATTGCTGGAACTCTTGGGCTCAAAACCAGCCTGAGTAAGAGCAAGACTCCACCTCTAAAACTAGCTGGGCATTGTGGCAGGCACCTGTAGTCCCAACTACTTGGAAGGCTGAGGCAAGAGAATCACTTAAACCCGAGAGTTGGAGGTTGCTGTGAGCTATGATGCCATAGCACTCTACTGAGGGTGACAAAGTGAGACTCTGTCTCAAAAAAATATAAATAAATAAAGTCACTGATGCTAAGAAACATCCAACCAAAGCATGGGAAATGCAGTAGAATACCCACACCTTTGGCGACAAGCCTCAAAAATACTTTTTTGCTTTTCAACCATTTCTTGATGCAAATCTCCATTGTCCTAACTAATCCAAATAAGAATGTCCTTAAGGTCACAAATAATTCATACCCATCTAGAGGATCAACTGAAGCTATGACCTCCATGCTGCAACCAAATATTCAAATGCTTTTCAACAAAAAGCAAACACAACAAAGTCACCAAAAGGTTAGTTAACTTTAAGATTAAGATTAACAACTAAGAAAACCCCACACTGTACCCCAGAAGTGCATTAATGTACATAGTTACCATTCAATAAAAAAAAAAAAGATTAACAACTAAGATAACAACTAGATAACTTTAAGATTAACAAATAGTTTTCCCTTTTTGAAATTATTAAGTACACAGGAGTTAGATTTTTACATAATAATGTACATTTTAAGTATATTTAATTGAAGTTTCTTGAATGCAGCCTTATTTGATTACAGCTAAATGAATGTGGCCTTTCAACATGAAAAAGTTCCCCAGCCCTGTCTGGACTACATCGCAGCCACGTCTTCATCCGAGACAGAGCAACATGTTGATAGGAATCTGGCTTCAGATTCTTGGGTCAAAGAAATTATAATCCTATCCACTGAAATGTTCTAGGGTGCCACATTGAAGATGGAAACGTCTTGTATAGCTTCAAGAAAACGTCTGAAGGGAAAAAGAATCTTTTTATTTTCTTATGACTTCTACATCCTGGCTGCCTACTGCCAACCATACCTAGTACTAAAACCAGTGAAATACCTTTCTTTGCATGAACCTGTAAGAAGTGCCACATTCTGTGCAAAATGAGAGGAGCCTTTTAAATGTCACTCAGGGCTGTACTGATCAGTGTTGGGGACTGCTCTATCCTTAGGTAAGACCTGTGAACACAGAGTTCAAGGAGAAGCTCTTCTTCTCTGACCTGTGCATGTTACCTATTCTAAATACAGAAAACTGTGACACCAAGTCTCACCACTCACTTGTAGCAATAAACCCTCTGGTTTGTGCCAGCATCAATTTCTATTGGCTTACTTAAGCCTTCACAAACACCTAGCTATAGAAAGAAAATAAGATGACATGCTTTTAGGATTTTATATGGTCCTTTTAAGGGAAGACAAGTTTTAAGGTAGAAAATCATTATCTAAGTTTAAATGATTTGAATAATTTAATTTTCATGATAAAGATAAATTTAAACATTGGATCTTTTTGTTTTATCATAGAAGAAACAGAAATTTTGACTGATGATATGAATGAAGGTAAGTTAACATTATACTTTTTTGTTAGTGGTTCACTCATTTCAACTGAAATGTTAAGATTATTGCGCATGTACACATATGTGTATATAATTGTTTCAAGCACCCACTAATTGATACTTTGGTATCAATTTAAATTGAAAATATAACACTATTGTTCTTTCCCAGTGGCTTTTAAGAAAAACAAGCATAAATGATTCTTGAGAATTTCTTTTAAAACTGGATTAATTTATATGTCTAATTTTGAAGTGAAAACAGTACTCTAGTGCTAGGCAAACTTTCTGATATGAACTTTGTCAGGTCAGTTTTGTCAAAATAACCAGATTTCAAGCGTAAGATATGACATACATTTTGAAATAGAAAATAATAGATGTTAATTGAGTTTTGTAGTATTTTTAATCATGATAACAGAAGACCTTTGAAGATATGCACCTTGGCCAGCTGTGTAATAAGAGCGAAATTACATGAAAGTAATTTCATGTAATTTACTAGGATAGTAATCAGTTGGAGATTTGGAGTCAGGCAGATTGCATTAAATCCTGACTCAGTTATGTATTAGATCTGAACCTTGGGTGCACAACTTAACCTCAAATACAAACACGGGGAAAAAAATAGCTTCCTGTTTTAGGGGGATTTTAAAGTGAATTTTGTGTAAGTCTCCCTTCTAATTCTCAGTCTCCAAAATTAATTAACTTTTTTAAAAATCAGGCAGTGAATGAAAGCTTTATATCTAGAAACTACAGATTATTAATTAAAAGCGATTTTCAACAAAGGTCCTTACTTTCTACTCAAGGTAATATTAATTTTCAGATAGTATCCAAGATGGTCTCACAGTCCTCAGTGAGGTCTCTCTTCATTCAAAGGTCTAAGAAAAAATTAAGATTTACCATCATACTCTTCCCTTAACCTGATTCTTAGGTTAGGTGAGACAAAAATATAAGTAAATTGTTTTAAAAAGTCTTCTGTCCATGTTCTCTCTCGGGGGCCTCCCTCCTTTTTTTGCCCCAAATGAATAATAATGAGCGTCATTGCCTTTCTCATTTGGGGTTGACAAACAAGTAAACAAAAAACAAGTAAACAAGAAACAAGTAAAAAAATTCTCATGCCATGGTAAAATATAGAGAGAGAAGAGAGGAAGCATCTTATACTTTTCCTTTCTTCCATTGTCACAAATTCTTTTGCAAATTCGTGTCTGAAGTCTTGCTCTACCATGTTTTCTCAGTGACAAATGAGCCAAATCTGCACGCTTAGACAGAGAAAGGAAATATGGTCACATGTCAAATGACCAAAAAACCATCCCCTGCTCTGCTGATCTGCTTGCCCAGGGGTCCGTGGCACATCACCCCCCAGGGTTAATATGGTGATTAAATGATATGCCAAACGCTCAGTGTGGGACCTGACACATAGAGAGTGCTCAGTATTATCATAATGTCATTAATGATAATATTAATATTATTGAAAAGAGGTCCCTATAAACAGCTTCTAGAAAGTAAAAACTGTGAGAAGACACAGTTCCCCAGGCTGTCATCTTACCCCATGACTTCAGAAGGTGATTCCTTTCTGTGCTGTCACTGTAGCAATGCCTGGATATGAAGCTTCTCTCATCTGCTAGAGGCTGGCCAGTGCTTCCTGTCACTAGTCCGCCTTAAGGCAGAACTTCAGAGAATCAAGCCAATTTTAATAGTGAGCCACAATCTTTTAGCAAGGTCAATAGCTGAGTTTAGCATCAAAAATAATTGACTAATGAATCCAGCCTGTTTTATATTAGTGTGACTCTGCCATCTTTGTGGCATAACCAAGAAGTGTCTGTCCAGAAGGTAATGCGTTCAAAATAGTAACACCTAATCTCTTCCTTTCTTAAAGAAAGAAAAAGGATAAAGTCATCATTCCCTAAACTATCCTGTGGAGTTAAAAACAGCCTGCATGC